AATCTCTGAGGGTGTGACTCAGGCATAAGTAATTTTTTAAATCCTGAGAATTCCTAATGTCTAGCAAAGGCTGCAAATGATCAAGTAATGCCACTGGTAAGAACTTCACTACTTCACTAAATTAATACTCCAGATACTTATATGAAATTAGAAATTTATGTCAAACCTGGGAACTGGTAGCCAATGCTAGCTGGCCATTCCACTTGATTGTCTAAGGGCTGATGAAGAGAGAGACGACCTCCTAGGTAACTAAGATATAAACTAACACAAAGATTTGATTTTGTTGATTAAAGTCAACATCTCAAATTGTGCAATGAAGAAAAAAAAATGAAGTCATTACAAAGAGTAGGTTAGTGTAGGTTAGCATAAGGTATAATAATCATGACCTGTTGAAATTAACATGGTGATTAAGCTGAGGCTTAATTTAAAGTCCAGATTAATGCTGGGAAGTATGCTATTGATAAACGAGCTCAACTTTACCCAGGAGAGAATACATACATACATATGTATGCTCCTTTATATATACTTGAGACATGTTTACTGTTAACTTAAAAAACCGTGGTCTGAAGACATTCTCCCTTATTCATTGGGTGTGAGGATGCCCATTCCCAGTCTTGGCGAGGTAAATGACTGCTTTCAACAATTAGGCATACTATGAATTTCCTCTTTGTAGCAAACAAACCAATTACTAGTTTTCAAGTTTCCTTTGCTCAATCAATAGTCAATGCACAAGAAAAAAATAGGGTCCAGTTCATGTATTCAAAGGAGAGTTGCAAAGAAAAGTATATATTGAAAAACTGATTACTTCATTCTGGGAGGAAGTTAAGTTTACTTTAAATTCAACTTCTCAGAATTCCTCTAGATGAGAGATCACCACTAAAAGTTTAGTCAGCAGTTTGTCTATAATCCTTCACTTTATCATTGTCTGGATAGTCTGATGCCTCCCTTAATCTTTCTATACCCCCAGGAGACACACACTGGCAAACTCAAGCATTGTATCAGTTTTTGCCAGAGAACAAGTTATTCAAAAACCTAATGCCTTGAAGTTAACCATTTATTGAACTCCTGATTCTAAGTTCATTTGGGTTGCACTCACTAGTAATCCTTTGCTGGCCTGAGCTGGCCTCACTCATTCATCTGCGGTCAGCCTCTAGTTAGCTCAACAGATCTGTTTCAAGAGGTTGTCTGGATGACATGAGGTCCACTGGGCCATAGAGTAGTGTCCTACAGTAGTCTCACCTGGTCCTCATTTACATGATGACAAAATGTTCCAAAAGCACCAAGTGTAAATGCTCTTCAAGTTAATGTATGCTTCACAATTGCCAATCTCCCACTGGCTAAGGCCAATCTCTGGATGAAAGAGGAGACTCATTATCATTTTTGCAGTCTCTCATATCCTTCTTTATGGGAGTAGTCATTCAACGTTTTCCCTATGCTCACTGTAGTCATTCTATCTCAAGACACATTAAGGCACTCAGAATATTTCTATCAATGAATTGGCAGTAGACATTTCCAAAATCTAAGAATTCTATGCATCAAAACAGCTAATCAGAATATGTACTGATACAGATAAAGATATGATTTATTGCTATAAGACCTACATATACTGAACTAATTCAAAATTGATAGCACATTTTGACCCTGAACTTCTTCCTGGTACTTTTAAAGAGCACTTGAGAAAATACAGTCTAAGCACTATTTTTTTCCCCCTCAAATATACTTTCTTTTTTCAGGTTCCATTGTACTTATTCAACTATTTTTTTTAAAGCAGTTAATTTACACATCAAATAACATGACCTAATTCTTATAGATTGTTTGCCCTCCCCAGTCTCATTTTCTCATCTTCCTTAATGTGCTATCACAACTGGCTTTTATTTAGCACACTAAGCACCATTTCTAATGTTGTAAAAGGAAATAAACAAAACAACAAACAAAATCAAATTTCTTTTTAACTTAGGTATAGCATTAAGTATTTTGTCTGATGGTTATAAAAAGTTCCTGAATAAAAAAAACAGATTAAAAAGATACTATTACATTTTACTTTAAGGAATGTGATTAGATAAAGAAATAGTCTTCATGTGCTTAGTCCTACATTTTAAGCACTGTGAAATTTTTTTAGGTTGACAAAGGTTGGAATACTGAGGCTGAATTTCTCAGCTCCTAAACATACTCCTGTAACAAGTGAGCAAGAAACCATTACTAAGGCTCTGCTGGGTAATTCTGGAGTTTGGGGCCCAACAAAAGTTTGTCTCCCTAGAAAAATAATGAAGTGTTAAAAAAATCATCAAACAAGTATTTATTTTGTACTCTAGTTATATAAATTAAAATACTCAGATTAATTATATTTGGTGATATAAACCTAAGTTTTAAAAGAAATATAAATATTGATATGAGTACTTTCTCTCTTAACACAAAGAACTTGAACTCTATCAAAACCAGTCACATATTTTTATCTTAATCTAAGAATTTTCCTTAATGCAGTGGTACCCAATTATTTTTTCATTTTTTTTCCTTCATGCCTTTTACTTACATAAAATGCATCAGAGCATGTTTTATTAGCAATACTTAATCACGAGGATACTATCTCAAGAGCCACTTAAAGAATCCCTAGATATTTGGGGTGATTGTATATTAAATAACTCCCATTATATCTGCCCTTGATACAATTTCAACTAAAATCATTACTCAGTGTGTTAGGTAGAATCCTAAGATATTCCTAAGATTTCTTCTCATAATTCTAGAGGTTGAATATGATGGCATAACACTTCCATGATTATGTTATATGGCCATTTGGCCTTAAAATAGGGAGATAATCTAGGTGAGCCTAATTTAGTCCACAAACCCTTTAAGAGCAGAGTTCTCTCTGGCTGGTAGCAGAAGGGGGAGAAGTCAGAGATTCCAAGCATAAGAGAAATTTGACTCCTCTTCTCTGGCTCTGAAAGGGGCCATGGGATAAAGAATGCTAGCAGCCTGCAGTAGGTGGCAGAAGCCCCTGCTAGCTAAGAGCTGGCAAATTAAAAAAGACCTCAGCCTCACCTCCACCCCTGCTCCCAGACACAAGGTGCTGAATTTGACCAGCAACTTGAGTGAACATGGGAGAAGATTCTTCTGCAGAGTTCATAGTTAAAAACCCAGCCGGCTAATACCTTGATTTCAACCTTGTGATATCCTAAGCAGGAACCCACCTAAATATTTGACCTACATAAATATGTGATAATAAATGGGTGTTGGTTTGAGCTGGTAATTTTTGGTAATTTATTGCCTAGCAATAGAAAACTAATACAGTCTATTTTAATTATTTTCAACATTTTTGGAGCAGATTCAGTTTTTGAAATGAAATCTAAGTAGAAAGTCAGTATGCAAAACTGTATAAGCAGTTTCTCAGATTAAAAAGGTAGTCACTGTTACACATCAACAATGACCCTGACTTTATCTCATATGGCTCCATGACTGAACCTCAGAAATCTTCAGAAGCCCAGTAGAATTTTGATTGTTAGAATATTATTTGAATCTGAAATAGAGCTAGAATAAGGAGTTTTAAATTAAAAATGTATTGACTTCTCCTAGGAAATGACATAAGTAACTCTTAATTAGCCTCTTGGATTTATCAGTCTACATGCAGCTTTTACCTATATCTTAGAAAAAGTTCCTATATCCAGATTCTGGCAGAAGTTCTTTGTATTCCTCAATCTAAGCAGAAAATAGCCTACTGCTTGTTGTAAGCTTCCTTTTGGCTTAAATTGAAGGAAAACATAAGAGGAAGCATGTGATGGCATATATCCCACATTGCAATGTTTTCTTGCCCAGTTGCAGAACATGCAAAAATACAATCTTCCCACACACTTCCTGAAAGCTATATACCTTTCGGAGTGAATTTCATCATTAAAAAATCAAACAAAACAAAGCACTGAGCAGCTGTATTGTAGCAGAGAAATCAACTGTTTGAACAAAAGATCCTCAAGAAAACTAAGAGATTTCTTGAGAAAGTAAGCAATTCTTAAACTTAAAACCCTTTTCAACTTTAAAACTAGAACGTGACTTTTAGATGATACTCAGAGACATGTCTAGGTAGTGTGATCTATTTTTGCAATGATTGTTGGGTCAGTTATTAGCATTTGACATTTAAGGGCAAATACTCTCTAAGCGGAGTTTGGCTATCTCTTTCCATGCAAACCACATTTCTCTATTTTCTTTTCACTGCAAGGTATTTGAGCTTCTTAAATAGAAGGTCCAAGCAATAGACAATCAACTGAAAACATTTTGGGAACTATTTTGCCTGTATGGTCGAGCATCACTGCATAGTGTGGTAACACAGGTCTTGCTTTGTGAGAAGTGTTGGTGGTACTTTCTGAATATTCTTGTTTATAAGTACTCCTAGTAGATCTTCAAGCAGCTACCACTCATTTGTCCTGTTATGTCTTTAATAGTAATTCCACCTTCTACGTAATGCCCTGAAATATATAATTATTTAATAATTCTGTAGCATTTAAGTAATATCTGAAGTACATAGATCAAAGATCACACACTTAAATTTTGTTCGGTTAGGAAGAATTTTGAAAAAAAAAACAACTTTTAAATGAACAAAAATGGCTACTGAGTGTCCTCTGGGTTACATGATTCTGTGTAATTATTATTGTCTCTGAACTCTACAACTGTGTAAGTGCAGGAAAAAAACAAAACAAAACTGACAGACATGTCAATGATAACTTGTCTATAAGATGCAAATGACTTACTCGGTGAACTTAATCATTGTCCAGGTGATATTGACCAGTTTTGCATCTATTTGCAAACTCATTGCAGCATTCCTGATTGCTTATATACAGGTGTTATTTGAATTATCTTTGAATCAGTTGAATACCTTACTGATTACTTCATTGATTGAGTGCACTGGTCTTCTATTGCTATATAACAATTACTGGGAACACAGCACAAAGCTCACAAATGGATTATTTCACTGTGTCTGTGCGTCAGCAGTCTGGGCATGGCTTAACCTGTCCTCGATCAGTTACCGAGGTATAGGTTCAGGTTGTGACCTGACGACCAAGGTCTTTTTTTGAGCACAGTAGGTGTTGGGGAGAACTCAGTTTCTTGTGATTATAGGACTGAGACCCTCAGCTCCTGTTGTTGCCTGTCAGGTGGTCCTCTCCAAACATGGCAGTTTACTTCTTCAAGGCCAAAAGGGAAGTATCTTCGCTGCTTCTACTCACTCTGATTTCTTCCATCTCAGAACGTAAGATCTGCTTTTAAAGGGGTTCCTTAGTTAGAACAAGCTTGCCCAGGATTTAGGAGTTAGAGTGAGGTGTTATACTATATGCCTAATCAGAGTTCCAGAAAGAGAAAGTAGAGGTATAAGAGAAACACTATATTAAGAAGTAATGGCCGAAAATTCTCCAGAATTGATGAGTATACCAATGTTCAGATTTAGGAAATCTACTGTATTCCAAGTGAGATAAAAGGAAAAGACATCATCTCGCATAATTTCCCATATGGTGAAATTTCAGAACACTAAAGATATGAGATGATTTGAAATGCAGCCAATAAAAGATAAATTAATTACAAAACAATGACAAATAGATTTAAAAGTAAGTTCTCTCCATAAATAAGAAAAGTAAGAAAACAGAATTACATTTTTAAAGAGACAAAAGAAAATTTCTGGCAAAGTCTACCTTTAAACTAAGAAAAGTTATTCCCTAAAAATAAGGGTGAAATATACATATTTGCAGACAACTTTAGACAAGAAAGATTAATGTCAACAAATAGTCACTAACAGAAATTCTAAAAAAAGATATTCCAAGCAGAAGGAAGGTGATTCCCTCATGTGGACCGAGTCACCAAAAGCAGGGACAGATAAAAATAATGGAAAATGAGCAAATCTAAACCAATTGCCAATATAAAAATTTAAAAGGCCCAATTTGGGGTGATCAGATAAAAATAACCTATAATTAATATACTGAACAGAAAAATAATATAAGCAGAGAAGGTCTTGGTAGGAGTTAAACATTTCAAGATCCTTTTATTATCAAGAAAGGAAGTAGAGACACCAAATATCTTTAGAATTTAAGTATGTTTCTTCAAGTAGCAATAGCAACAATGGTCATGATAGCCATTGTATATGCAAATTACAAACAAATATAGGAAAAAAAAGGGATGACAAAAAGAAAGTTAAAAATATAGTCTAAAATATGTCATGAAAGGAGGGGAAGATATGGACAAATAGAAAGCAGGCAGTAGGGTAGTAAAAATAAATGTAAATGAAATACACTCTCTAGTTTAAAGAAAATGTTCATAATACTGGTTTAAAAACACCCTGGTTACATGAGACACACCTGAAAAAAATAAAGCTGAAAGTCCAAGGCTGTGAAAGAAAAAAAAAATTTTTTTGAGGAATTATGTAAAACGTAATGGTTTACATTGCTATATATATGATGGTATAATAGAAAAGGAAAACTATCAGAAATTAGAATGATCACTACTCAATGATAATCATTCACCAGGAAGACAAAATTTTAAACATGAATAAACCTAATAAAATACCTTCAAAATATACCAAGCAAAAAAAAACATTTTTAAACTACTTGAAACTTGACAAATCTGTTACACGGTAATATTTTATCACACCTCCCATGGTAATTGGTAAGTATATGAAACAGATAATCAATAAGCATTAGAGCATTTTAACAATTAACAGTTTGATCTGCCATAAATAGAACATTACAGATAAATTTGGAAAATATATTTTCTTGCCATGCATAAATGGAATATTTTACTAAAATTGATCTCATACTAAGACATGAAGCATGTCTCAATAAATCTCAAAGAATTGGAATTAAATCAGTATAAATCCTGCACACATCCTACCTCTATTCTCCAGGGTTTGGTGTGAAGCCAGACTTTTTCATTGTCAGTAAGGCAAATATTCAGGTCTATAGAGAAGAGGAGAAGAAATGGTGGGTGGGATATTTATTGCTTTGTGACATTCTGAAGCTAAGTAAAATTGTAAAAATTTGAGTATTTTATGCATATAATTATGCCCAACTTTCCTGGGTCTAAAGGCCTGATGTAAGGGCAAGTTTGGAAGAGTAATGAGAAGAAAGGTATGAAATGATATCTACTTTAGTAGGGGTGGAAGAAAATTGATGTATCACTCCTGCCTGAGCAAAAAAGATAATTATTTCTACCTATCTAATACATTCTCCACAATTTAGTCTGATAATGATGAAAATTTATTGGTGTATATTACTTAACAACAGGAGTAATCTTTAATGTGTTAACTACATGATAGAAGTAGACCTATATTTGTATGTGCTCAATTAAATAGACTTATTTTAATGTGAGCACAGAAACATAATGCCACCACAGTCATGTCCATAGTATTCAGATATGTCAATTATTACCACTGTTATACAAATTTTCTGCCTCAATTTCATTACATTATACAGGGTAAAAGTCCAAGCACCCTCTATATGGCACCTAAGATACTTTATGATATGAACACACCCCATGTTTCTAATTCTATGTATAGTAAACATATATATATATTTGTATAAATTTCACAGTAATCCATATTCGTCAACAGCTTCACAGCCAAGGAAAATGTTACCTACTTATCAAGTCTCAAAACTATTTCCTATGTGAAGTATTTTCCAACACCGTGGTTGACTAGTCTGTTCACTGTCTTCAATTTTCATTGTCATTTGTGCATAGTAGCTTTTTAGAAATTTTTATGACATTTTATTAGTCATTTACACACCTATTTTCTCCTTGAGAAATAACCTTTTTTTAGTCTGGGATTTTTTTAAACTCCATTTCTGAGAAATAAACTCAGTTCTCAGCACATAGTAGCCACTCAATAGAATCTGTTGACTAAATAAATGTCCAAAATGTAAAGGTTTCAATAATTTTCAGATGTAAACTTCAGTCGGTAGAATGGATTCATTTGCTGGTGAATTTGAAATCTCATTTGGTCTGCATTTTATTGCTTGTTTGTGATGTGGATATGTGGATTCAAGAAAAGTATGTGGTAGCTAGACTGGAACCAAAAGGCTTAGATTTCAAAGATGAACTTTCTGCTATAAATATAGGAGGGGTAGTATGCATGACGGTTAGATTTTGAAAGAGGTCTAGGTTTGAATTCTCCTTACATTAGTTGTGTGACTTGAATTCACTCTAAAATTTCTTTACTCATTTGTAAAAAAATTTAAAAGTTTACTTTACCTCATCTTTAAGAGAATAAAGATAACATTTATTGTATAGGGTTGTAAAGTCATGATATGTATTGTAAGCACACAGATACCTAGACATAGACATACCTGTCTATGTTGACAGTGGATATCTTAATGTGCACACACATGCACTTAGACAAGGCTTAGAACATTCTGTAAAAATTCTGTTGTTGTCAATTATGATTTTTTTTAATTGAAAGAATTGGTAACTTGGACTTTAAAATTTCATTCTGCAAATAGATTTCCAGTTTCCATGGTTCTCTCTAAATCTATACTAGTCTCCAATGAGGTGCTGTTTCAACACTTATATGTTCCATTTGCATTTATTAATTTGTTTGTGGATTAATCTTCAGTTCATTTAATCCTGCAATATACTCTACCCAATGCCAGGTATCTGCTTTATTTATTAGGTGTCAACAAGAATATAAGAAAATAATTGTAGATGGAAAAATGTACAGTGCTTTGGGAAGTATATTTAAAATATACACTAAGGGAAATGAATAGTTCCCCATCTATTTCAAATTTATGTTTTTCACAAAACAGTATCCAACAATATGTGAACACAGGGTACAGTTTTGCACCTCGTAGCCTTTGGGGATTCAAGACCAAGTGGAGTTTCTTTTTCATTAAATTTGTAGTGATGCATAAACTACCAAGATTTCTTAAACCTTGATAAATATGTCCAATCCTGAAACCTCCACTAAGAGTGACATGACATACTATTTTGTTTATTGTCCTCATGAAGTTACAAGTCAAAAAATTCCAAGTAGGCTCCAGGAAAGTTTTCAATGTACACACACACATACATAATACCTACCATATATAAACACCAATATACTTAGTACCTATATACATGGGCAGAGAACCTGAACAGAACATTTCTCCAAAGAAGAAAAATATGGCCAACAGAATGGAGAATATAGTCAATGATTCTGTAATATCTTTCTGTGTTGACAGATAGTAATTGCACTATAGGGGGTGAGGATTTAATAATATGGGTAACTGTTGAACCACTGTGTTGTATATTTGAAGCCAATATAAGATTGTATATCAATGATACTTCAATTAAAAAAAAAAACTATGTGAACTTTTGCAAATGCAGAAATTCTAACAAAGTTAAATGAGGCATATGCCAATTAATTTCTTGGACTTTAAAATTACCTTTTAATCATTTAATTCTACATATAATAAAAGGTTCAGACTACTATTTGAAAATTTAAAAGTCTAAAATACTTTCAGTAGTTATTTTTTTAAGTTTAATTTAAATTAGTTGAACAGCATTTCTGTTATTTGTGTTTGTAAATTCCATCTTAATAAAATACAGTGATAATAAATTCACCAGGCAATGAAGTGTACCATGAAGAAATAATGTATACCATTTATAATAAATGCTTTTGTCAAGAAAAGCCAACAATGCTCAGAATAGCAAAGAATCTTTCCTAAGAAAATCATCCTAAAACTTAAGAACAAGATTTCCTGATCTACAAATTGGAAGTGTCCTTTCATAAATACCCCAGAAATTGTCTCATTTTGGATTCAATCTCTCTCCCAATTCTACTTTTTTTCTATACCTTTCTCCAATTTTCTCTTTAATCAAGTCAAATGTCCATGTATCCTAAACACTGAAGCGTCCTAGAAGAAGATAATACTTTTGTTCAGACCCTGTGGGGAAGTTGGGGTTCCTACGGCCAGGATTCTCACTGAACTTAAACCACCTAATGATGTAACTGGCCTGTTGCTGGGCTACCGCTTCCACACCTTTAGGCAATAAGCTATTATTGCACTGTACAGAGAGCTCGGCCCAGTGCTCTGGGCGGAGGTAGAGACGCTAGTGCTCAACCTACCGCAGGGAGAACAAGCGGGGTAATAAACCCTTTCACCCCAAAGTAAATGTTTTGCTGTCAATTTCTTTGGTCGCATTGGATCCACAGTGACCTTTCCAGGGGCCAAAGCCCATTGGCAAGACAGACACCTGAAGTCATCATGATAGTTTCAAACACAGGCCAAAGATGCCATCTTGTTAAAATTTACTTTTTCATAGAAAACATAATATTTTTCATAGCAAAGATTCCAATCTCAGATTTCACCAAACTATAAAATCTTTAATAGTTAATAGTTAAATTATACACTGGAATAGTGCAGCTTAAAATTTTGATAAACATTGGGAGGCTTATGATTCCTCTCTACTGAAGGCATATTGAAAAGTATTCTCACATGCTGGAAAATATTTTCATGTAAATCTATCTGAAGTAGGAAGTACTTTAAAGATTTCTCAATCGACACCTGTAGCTCTAATACTTGGTATATAGACACAGAGTTGAAGAGAGTCTCAATATAACTTTTACCTAAAAATATTTTTTTCTTCATTTTATTTTCAGTGTGGTATTTGCTCTCCAAAATGACAAGATTGATGGTAAGGTTACAAAACAGGCACTGTTAAGCATGATCACTGCTGTGTGAAACAGGTTTACTGGCTGCACCATGGAGTCTACTCAATGATGGCTTTGAGCAAGTCAATTAACCTCCCTTGTTCTCATATTTTCCATTTGCAAAATGAGGGTAATGATTCTAAATATGAACACAGGTTGTTATAATTATGAAATGAGCTTTATGATTATTATTGACACAACCTGATTCTATGTAAGATCTCCTCCCATTGTTTTCCCATCTTACCCCAGATGGAGTGTTAGCACAGATGTCCTAAATTAAACATGAATTGTGGGTTCATCCTCAATCCTTCAATTTTTCTGTTCCAGATCCAATCCAGGAGGTTCTATGTCCAATTTTTTCCCCAAGATCCAATACTCCTCCTATGACCATTACTAAAATAGAGCTCCAAGCCACAATTATCTTTTACCCAGATTATGGAAAATGCTTGCCAATTGATCTGTTTCACCTGTATCTCCTGACAGTCTATTTTAAAGCTACATCCAGAGCCATCCTTTAAAATGAAAGTCAAATCAAGTCTTCTACTTAGAACAATGCAATGGATTTCACTCTCAGAGTAAAATCCAAAGTTATTACAATTGGTAAAAGCTCTCCCAACTGTTGCTCAACTCATACTACTGATCCCATTCTAGCCGTCCCTCAAGCCAGTCACGATTTTCCTACTGGGCTTGTGGTTTCCTCTTCCTGGTTTGTTCTTATCTCAAACACACACATTTTATATTGCTTTATTGCTTCACATCTTTATTCAAATGTCCATTTTTCAATGAAGACATGGCAAACTTCACTTAAAAACCACAATGCTTGCACCCCATTATAACTAGTCCCATTTGCCTGCTTTTTTTTTGTTTTTTCATAGCGCTTATCAACACTTACCATACCACATACTCTTCTAATTTGTTTATTGAATATGACGTACTTTGTTGGAGGGATTTTTGTTAGTTTCATTCACAATTACATCTCCAATGGTAGAACAGGTCAGTAGATATTTGTTAAACGATAAATGTCTCAAGGTGAAAAGTGTGATTTCTTTCTGCTAAGTTTCATGCATCAGTTTTTCTATTGTTGCTAAAAGCAATTATCACAAGCATGGTGGTTTAAAACAACACAAATTTAATACTTTGTAGTTGTGTAGGTTAAAAGTCCAACACAGGTTTCACTGAACTACTGGCAAAATAAGGAGATGGAGGAAATCTATCTCCTTGCTTTTTCCAGCTTCTAGAGGCCACCCACACCCCCTGGTTTGTAGCACCTTACCTCCATCATCGGTGTTGCGGCTCTCTGATCATTCCTCTGTAGGTCTGTCTCCTGATTCTGACCTCCTTCTTTCTCCCCCTCTCACTTTTAAGGACCCTTATCATTCATTATATTATACACACCTGGATGACCCAGGCTATTCACCCTATTTTAAGGTCTGCTCAAGAGTTAATATAATTAAATCTTAAACTTTAATCCTCCCTTGCTGTGTAGCTGAACATTTTCACAGGTTCTGGGTATAACAATGTGGACATTTTTGGGTGGCCTCTATTCTGCCTACCACATTCCCTTCTTTTTTTTTTTAATTGAAGTATAGTTGATACACAATAGTATATTGGTTTCAGTTGTATAACATAGTGATTGAACAATTTTATTTATGATTAGATGGTCACCATGATGTGTAGTTTCTGTCTGTTATACACATATATTATTATGGTCTATATTCCCTATGTTGTGCTTTCATCCTCATTGATCAGACCTTTTCCTACATTCTCAAGCATCTTGATTCACCTCTAATTTTCTACTGTTACTGTTACACTAAGATCACCAAAGACTTCAACTAGCACATTCAGAAGATACTCTTTCACCCTCAAATTGTTTCATGCATCTGTGGCACGTGAAGCATGGAGCTCAAACAATTTTTTCTTTTTTACTTCCTCATTGAAATGGTCTCCTACCATACTTTCTGTGAAAAGTCTTTTCTGGTTCTTTTACCACTCTGAAATATTCTTGCCATTTGTCTTGCCGATGGGTTTCAGCCCCAGATAAGTTCACTCTGTATTCAGTGAGACTGAAAAAATGATGGTGGAACGTTCTTGGGGTGAAAGGGTTTATATCAAACTTTATTCTCATGCTAGCAGTCAGGCACAAGAGTCCCGTCCACTCAGAGTGAGTCTGCATGCAGCAAGCCGGTCTCTGCCTCTGGGCCTCTCCATCCCCGCAACCATCCCAGTTTCTGTCATCAGCAGCGCCACCACTCCAGTCTCTGCTCTCCTATAGCCGTGTTACCCAGAGCACCGGGTGAAGCTCTTTATATAGAGTCAACAGCAATGTATTGCCCACACAGGTGTAGTGTGCTAGCTAACCAGGGCCAGGTGAAAATCTTGGCCACAGGAACCTTCACTTTACCCACACCATTCTTTTAAGATTCCTGTTGACATGCCCTCCATTTAAATGCTGGAGTTTTTCTAGTGTTCTAAACTTGAACTTCTCCCTTGTGATTCTACAATAACTGAGCACCTATCTTCATATTTGTAATTTCATATTCTGGCATCTCTGATGAGCATTACAATTATTTTCCACAAACAGAGCTTTACTTTACAGATTTTCCATAGGACATTTGATATACAAATGTCAGAATTTGTTAATCAACCGCGAAATCTTTCCTCCTTGTATGTACAACCTTTGCTTAATAGCATCAAGATGCTCCAGTTGACCTGTTGCAAAACATGAAAGGCATTTTGTCTGAACCCTTTGCATCTGCCTTCTTCTTGATTTATCTCTGAAAAGAATCTTACTGTCTTGCCAATGGGTTTCAGACCCCAGCAAGTTCGCTATGGATTCAGTGTGACCAAAGAAGTAACAGTAGAACATTTATTTGGGGTGAAAGGGTTTATTACCTAGCTTGTTCTCCTGGTGGTTGGTCGACCACTGGGCTGCGCTGTTTATATAGTGCAATAATGGCTTATTGCCTAAAGGTGTGGAAGGTAGCCTAGCAACAGTACAGTTACATCATCAGGTGGTTTAAGTTCAGTGGGGATTCTGGCCATAGGAACCCCAACTTCCCCACCCTTTTCATAACTCTTTAACACAACCTGCATGTTTTACTATTCTTTATCTCTATCGATTTATTGTAACATTTCTCTCATAATTTAATATTAGTTTTTCTTGTCTTCAGTCTTCCTCACTTTATATTTAAATGACATACATGCCCATAGTAGCACTTATAAATGATGGTTCTAATTATATCACTGAACTGTTTAAAACCAAAGGAGAAGGGACTAGATATCTTGGTGTGTGACATGCACCTCACACAGTGCAGCTTTGTTTTCCATTCTAGCCCCATATCAACCACTCTCTCTTGATATTTCCTTGCTATAGTCGTATGAATTATTTGGAATTCACATGTATGCACAGTATGTTTCACAGTTTGTTTCATCTTCTAGAATTTTATTTTCTTTTAAAATCCAGTTCAAATATCATATCATACTCTCTGGAAAAACTTCCCTGACCCTTCTATGAAAATTTGCTTAACTCCTCTGAGTTCAACTGCTTCATACATTCTTCTGTTTTAATATTCCAGTTGCTCATTTACTTTTCCACTTCTAGACAACCAAGTTCATTAGGAAATGGACTTAATTTAGATTAAAAAACATAATGATAATTGATGCAGTTACTGGCTTGCTGAGTATTTGCTGGATTAGTGATTTTTCTTTCTCTTTTCTATTAAAGTAGTGCGGAAGAAAGACCTGAGAAATGGCTTTACAGAACGGAGAACAAGGATGATATACAACAACAAATAAACACTGTACCTCAACTCCAATAGCACAGGGCTCCAGCACCAATCACTTAATTCAAAACTACCAGCCTTATCAAACCTCCTTTTTTAGCTTGATATATTTGAAGATGCAAAGTTTGATCACAGTGCTGCCCTACAGTAGCATTTCTCAGTGGGGGTGAATTTTCCCTCGGGGTATTTGACAAAGTCTGGAAACATTTTTGATTGTCATATTGAGGGTGCTACCAGCATCCAGTGAGTAGAGGCCAGGGTTGCTGTTAACAACTATACTGTGGATAGGACAATTCTCTGAAAGAATTATCTAGCCCAAAATATCTATAGTGCCAACGTTGTGAAACCCTGCCCTAGAGTAATAGATATATCTCCCTTAAGTCAATATCCATATCTACATCTATGTCTAAATAGGATATTTTAATCAACTTCTTTGGGTACTTAAATGCATTTTCTGTTTTTATTCTATATTTTTATATACCTATAATAATAAAAGCTCCATTTTCTCCCTCAAATGAAACTAAAACATATTTTTTCCTAGAATAGTACATCTTTAATTTTCTAGATGTAGATGACCTACATATATTGCCCTGATTTTCCCCTGATTTTAGTGCATTCTTTTTATAAAGACTAAATTTCATTTTTAAAAAATACATTTGGAAATTGGCACTCAAGATGAATTCATTTGTTTCAAAATAGGAAAAAAACTACCTTAAGCTGTCTTTCAGAGATGTTATTTTAACATCATATGAATGAAATTAATGAGCACTTTATTCCTACACTAGACTTCCTTTTGTAAGCTCTAAGTAGATATCATTTCTTCAACTAAACATATAATAAAATAATGAAACAGTCTTATTCCCAGTTTAAGAACAATAGACTAACAAAAGAGAACACTCTTCAACACATACACCTGCATATATTTATTTTTTAAAAAAATTTTCTTGCATATATTACTGAAGGTAACACATGTAATGCAGAAATACAATGGTGAAATTTAATAAAAGTTAAGAAAAAGCAAGAGATAGAAAGATCAGGTTTGCCTTATTCTTTCATGATCTATGAGGAGGCTTATTTATAGAAGAACTTGCAGCCTTCCTAAAGCCTACAGAACAGTACAGACACTATAGCTTGATGTTTCCTGAAGACATATTGACCATTTGCATGACAAGATTACACCCTGTATTTATTTGCTTATTAGAGAAGATCACTTACTGTATGTGAGATTTACCAGATGGATAAACCAATCCCTTCCCCTGTGGAATGTACTGTCACATATGGGAAACAGTGTATAATTATAGCCTGTTTACTATCAACTTTTCTTTTAAAGCTAATTATAATTGTGTTTTCTCTTTCTTATAGCTGAAACCATCTTAACTGATAGACAAAAGATACCTATGCAAAGCCTAGAGAGATCACGGAAGCCTTCCCAAAGTACAGACCATCTGCCTATACCATCAAACCACTTGCAGATGCCTCTGAAGCTTGTTCTCTCTGATCTCTGTCCATAGCAGAGATTCAGGAGCTGGAACTGAATAAGGGCCATGTATTGGGGGCAGAGTGAAATGTCATAATTCATGGAATAGTTTTAAAACCAGAGACCCTATGACACTGTGATTTTTGGAGCCCAAAAGAAGTGAGAGAAATATTAAATAACTAACTCATATGTGTAATCACTCATTTAAAATTCATTTTTTTAAGTATAAAACACTGAGTTAATTTTTCAAGAGACAACAAAAAGTACTGCCTTACAAAGGCTGTGAACAGAATTATAAAGAGACCTTGAAGCTACTGCCACAAATGGCACCTGAAATGGATTGTATAGATTTATTTCCTGAAACCCTCTTAGCCATGAGGTGAGGGGCATGGGAAGATGCAAGAATTATGTACAATGAAGGAGAGGTTTATATCTAGTCCACCAAGTACACTTACAAAAATTACTCCAACTATTCAGCCATCCCTTCCTCACCCTAACGACGGCTGCTTCATATTCCATTTACACAGGAATCTATGAGGGCACAAAGCATATACATCTTCCTCCTCCCTCGTGACTGCTCATATAGCTTTACAGTATTCATTGAGCTGCTTTCACCCACTCAGATGCTCCCGCCTCTTGACAAGCTGGTGCTTATAGCACCACTGTAGGGTCCAGATCCAGTTCCCAGCAAACATGTGGTGACTAATGGTGAGTGTTCTCCACTGATGCTATAACCACCATGTGAAACTGACCCACTGATAGAATGAACATATATTTTCCAAATCAGGATCCTTATGTACGTAAAATGAGGGCTGTTAAAATTTTACTTGGGATAACTAGCAACACCCAAGATTCCTAAGGTTATTCTCACCTATCTGGGAAGAAGCTTTTATCTCAAGACAGATAGTGCTGCCCTTTCGACTTCACAATTTTTCAGCAAAAAAAGCTATATTCTCAAAACTGTATTCTGAAGTGTTCAACAAAGTATTTTTAAATGATAAATTATTTTAGAAAATTAACCCATGTGTGTAATAAATTTTATTTGGTAGTCAGCAATTGAAAAGGTCAAGGTTGATTGGAATTCCTA